GTTCTAGCAGAAGTTAGAAACGTTCACTAGTTTACAGTTGTTCTAACGGAAGTTAGAAACGTTCACTAGTTTACAGTTGTTCTAACGGGATAATTTTCTGTGCTAGCTGGATAGTGTAAGAAACATATTAATTGTAATACACAAGGATATACATACAACCAGTCGATCAAAATACTGGCACCTCCAAATACTACGGATCTAACGTCTTGAATAGTTCTCTAACTTTCAGCCGTGGGAGCATTATAATGTAGCCCATGAGTTGACAGTTGAATGGTATTGACTACCTGCCTTCTCTCGAGTAGCTTTGCGCGAAATTCAAAACAAACAAACACTAAAAATTATACACATAGGCTTATTTGATGGCGCAGTCTGCAATGAACAGGTGAATTAATTAGAGTAAAGCCTGCTATAAAATATATCGGCGATCAAAATTACTTGCAGTAAGCCTAACTCGCTGCTACAGCAACAAAGTATGCCTACCACACTAGCAGACGACGCATGCTAATGAGCTGGATATCACACATTTTGCTAGGGATTGTGGGAATTTCTGCATTTTGTTGAAGTTTTGACTTTCTTTTTGGAAAATAAATTTCAAGTAGTTACTTCCATAAAAAAAATAATTTGTTTGATATTTTGAATTTAAGTGTTGTAAGATATACGATTTCAACGTGATGAATTTGAAAATAATCTTCCTAAGACCTTGGTAATCTTGAAGCCGCGTTGAACGGAAATCCAAGATGGCAGAGTCCATTGGGTCCAAGAGATCAGAGTCCTTAGTGTATGCAAGTATTTGAAATGGTATAGGCGTATCTGTAGGACCAACTGTGTCGTCGTTCTTACCACTACTGTGTTTGTTGTGTGGCAGCAGACGTGAAGAGCTCTGGATTGAGCGAAACGCGTCGTCTACAATGGACTGAATAAATATTGTAGTGTTTAAAATATAATAGGCCTAATACAAATGTTTTATGAGAAATATAACTAGGTACTATTTTATTACGTAATGACATAGGCCTAGTAATCACCCTTGTCTTATTAAAGCCTGTCACTGTTCTGTCAAAATGAAGAGTCCTGATTTGTGGGTTTATTGCTGCAGGCTGGTTAAAGAAACGATCCACTTTTGGTAAGATCTTGCTTGTTTCGGGATTTTAAGCCAACATTATTGATTGATAATTTTTTGTTAAAAAAGTGAATTAAAGAATAGGAAAAATTGAAGAAGAAAAACAAGAAACGGTTTTTACAGAGGTTGTTTGCGTTTAATAATTCCTCAACTTAAGCCTATACACCTACGAGAAAATTATAAGGATTAATCGTCTTGGTTCAAGGCAATCTTCGTTATATCTAACGGCAAATAGCGTTGGCGTTTGTTGTTAGATTGGTATTTAAAGATTAGTATTTCTAGGTGAAGGCATGAGAAAAGCAATTTTCTGAAAGTAATTTATGTCGGAAATACACGTTAAGACGTTAAACCTTTGATTTCTGTTCAGTGCTTCATTCCTGTGTCATGTACGTCAACCAGTAAATGTCAAGCGACTAAATCATAGTATGTTGTAGGCTGTGTTTTTTATTTAGGCTTGTGAAAAAATGTACGGTATCGTGGATTTCTGCGGGTGCTGTCTTCAGCTAGATCATCCGTGAGATCAGGGAAGTGGCGTGATCTATTATATATATATATATAATATATGATATATATATAATACGATCTTTATATATATATATAAAGGCTATTACTGTGTTATTTTGAAAAGCACAGAATAGGCCTATAATATATGAAATAATATATATATATAATAGTGACGTTGTACTTCCGTTGGGGAATTCTTTTAAATTATCTAGTGGAAATAACTTAACGTCCAGTCCACGTAACGATAACAAATCACTTTATTTCCTCCTTTAAAGTTTCTACAAGTTCGAACACTTGTACGCAGTCGTAACTTGTTATAGGCATACGTTGCAAATGACTTTAACGGACGAAAACAAGTCAACTTACTTGTACAACGTAACAATACGCACGATAGCAAACACAGGTCCAAATATTTCACATAAACACACTAAATGATTCAATTTTCTATCGTGAAAAAAACTGCTTCACTACTTCTGTGTCTCTTCCACTGTCTTTCAATGCAATCTACTTTTGAAATAACTATCTCATATTTATAATCTGAGCCTTGTTCTAAATATTTTTCTAGGATCATTACATAATCATTAAGACCGCATCTCCCTCTATCTAACATTTAAATTACAACATTAAAACTACAGCTTATAACTATGCATTAACTAGGCAGAAAACTACCTGGTGTTACCTAATCATACTAAATAACAAGTAATAACTGGCCTAAAGATTGAGGCCTGACGGATATGCGCTTGACCAGCAATCTGCTGGTCGCGGGTTCGAATTCCCGTCACACCACACATGCTCGACCTTTTAGCCGTGGAGACGTTATAATCCGATGGTCAATCCCACTATTTGTTGGTAAAAGAGTAGCCCAAGAGTTGGTGGTGAGTGGTATTGACTAGCTGCCTTCCCTCTAGTCTGTCACTGTTATATTAGAGACGGCTAGTGCAGATAGCCCTCGTGCAGCTTTGCGCGAAATTCAAAACATACCAAAACCTGAAGATTGAATCACCTCACACTACTACCAGTAGTAACATAAAATTTCCAACTGACAATTTCCAAAGAGAAGGTCCTTAGTGGGCCAGTGGTAAATTAACAGATTCACAACGCTAACATTCGAGGCTCGATTCCCCATGGTGGAAAGAGCGCATATAATCTTAAGGCGCGGCATGGTCTGGTTGCTAGAGCATTCGGCTCGCTGTCTGTGGGTCGCTAGTTGGAATCCCGTCACAGAACATGCTCGCCTTTTCAGCTCTGGCGGCATTATAATGTGTTGGTCAATCTCACTACTGATTGATAGGGAGTAGCCCAAGATTTGGCGGTGAGTGGTGTTGATTAGCTGCCCTTCCTCTCTAGACTATCGCTTCAAAATTAGGGACTGCTAGCGCTGACAGACCTTGAGTGGCTTTATGTTAAATACAACAAACCAAAAATAAAGACAACTGAATTTAATATTCGTCATGATTTGTTACACTATTCCACTAAATGTAGTCGCTGTCTCCAATTGGACAAGGTCAGGTCATTGTATTATTAATTGTTCAAGCTATTTATCACCAGTTTTATATCACATCTGAATGTTTGTGGTGGTTTACTAGAAAAC